GTTGCCTTTCCGGCCATTTCGGTTCGAATGCAATGCAAATCATTTTTTGTTTGAAATAAACTTGAAATTTTTATTTTTCATTGAAAAATCTTTTTTTGAGAAAAATGGAAATACTATCGCCATCTATCGTTTGATATTTATACTTTTTAAATGTTTTTTTTTTTGAATCTTTTTTCATTTGCAAGCAGAAATCATATCAAACGATAAAATCCTTTCAAAATCAATCAATCAATCAATAATGTTCCAAATGAAAACCCCAAGATTATATAGAGCACACAAATAACAAGAAAGAAAACAAAGCAAAACAGCAAGAAAAAGATTCAAATTTCATTTTTTTTTCTGCGCTTCTCTGTGTTGTGAAATGTTTGTTTTTATTTGGTATGTTTTCTCTTGCAACAACATACAAAAAAGTTGCTGACCAAAAATAATTCAATTATGCATCATCATCATCATCAACAGAATTTTAAAATTTTCTTTTTGTGGGGATGTTATTATTATTATTAACCCTGTTCATGCATCCATTTTAATATAGAAATTTAAATGAAATCCAGAAGAGGTAGTGAATTGATTGATGAAAACCGAAATTGATGTTGTGAAATTATTATCACATCCAGAGAAGAAGAAAATTTTTTTTTGAATAATCAAACTGAACCGAATCGACAACAGCAACCAAAAAAAAAAAGAAAAGCCCGAATTGACAACGAAAGATATTTATGATAATTTTATGCTCATCTGCATCCGACAAACAAAAACCGAAAAAAAAATTTACCGTTTACATAATCATTTGTGAAAGTAAAGTAGGAGAATGAATGAAGAAAAACTATTAAATAATGAGTGTGTGTGTTTGTATAAGTGTAGGTGGATGTGGGTGTGTAAATGTGTGTGATGCATTATAAGAAAGAATAATGAAAGAAAAACTGGAGAAAAAAAAACTAATAATAATTAGGTCATTCCATCCATTTCATCCATCCATCCATTTTGGATGTTAAGAATATACGGTTTGGTTTGGTTTGGTTGATCGGTTTGTATGGTGTTTTTTTTGGTTGATAACATTGACCTTTTTTTTCGTTCTTGCTATACACATTTTATTTCATTGAATGTTCCAGTTCCAGTTCCATGTTCATCAGTATGGTGGATGATATATGGCACGAAAAAAATTTTAACGCATGCTTTTTAACGTACGGCCTACATCAAATATGTTGGTTATACATTATGAAGAGGAAAAAAAATGTCAACGGCTATTTTTTGCATATATAAATGTCATATTTTTCTGAATCATTAGTATTATGATGATGATAATGATGATTATATGATAAATTTTTGACCATAGTAGTAGGTTGAATGATGAATATATCAATTTTTTTGGCCCCATTGTTTCTCATTAAGTGTTAATGTTGATTGTGGATTCATTTCATTTGGAATCATGTCGAAATCTGGTTTTGGTTTGATTCTGGAAACTGGACAAAATATACAGAATATGAATATTTAAATGGAAGAATTTCTAGATGAAGAAGAAGAAAAAAAAGAAAGTTATCAATAAAATATTCAGGATTCTTTTTGGCTTGGAAATTGTGAATATATAGTGAGAAACGAAAAACAACAACAACAAAGTGTGAAACGATTCAATATAGAGAGAGAGGGAAAAAGAAAATTTCAATTTGATATTGTCGAAAAAATTGAGGAGAAAATTCAACAAAAAAAAAAGTTTAAAAATTCTTCGAAAGAATTTTTAAACTATTGAATGAATTGAATCACCAATCATTCCAATACTATTCGGCTGCTACTACAATTGTCAATCATTGAAAATATCTCATTGAGAAAAATTATTGAACCTACTATGAATCAACAAACAGCAAACTTATTCAATGAATTTTATATAGAAAATTAATGTGTTCCATAAAATGGATCATATTATGGTCTCTCTGGCCAAAAAAAACAGACAGACAAAACCAGGTTGATCTAGATTCTTGAATTCTATATATTCTATTTGCAAACAAACAAATAATTCTGTTAACCATTAGTTGTTGTTGTTGTTTGTCGGTATATTCTCTCAATGATGTTGTTGATATGATCGACACACACACACACAACAGTCGAAAAAACCAACAAATAAATAAATAAATGAAGGAAGTATGCATAAAACAGAATTTCACCTATATCATCATTCGAAACCGAATAGAAAAACAAATCGAATTCTTGTTTAGTGAATGTTGGTATTTCCTTTTCTATATATACATAAACAATATTGGAGCACAAACAAGATAACCCATGTCACAATGTTTGTGGAACTTTGTTGTTGTTATTTCATATCCAAAACGCATGTACGTTTTTTTTTGTTTTGTTGAATATTATTTGAATTATTTTGGATTATATAAAATGAAAGTTTAGAAAGATGAAAGAAACAACAAAAAATCACATACAGAACTATAGAATTTCGAGGTTATTCTCTTCTCTGGTTATTTAAAAATTGGTCGCGCATGTATACAATTTTGAGAATAATAATACAAATTCGATTTCAATCATCATTGATTTGATCTAGTTTTTCATTTTCATTTTTACGTTTTTTTTTCAGTTTTGGTTGTTTGACAAAATCTGGTTGCTATTTTCACACACACACATTCGATCGAATATTCAAGAATTAGATAGTGGTATGTATATCATAGTGGCAGTGGTAGATAACTATGATCAATACGACTATCACATTCACACACCCACCACAACAGAATGATAGGAGGGAGTGGTCAAAAAAAGAAAAGAAAAAACTTTGACCTAAACCGATTACACTACTTATACCGATTACCACTTCCTTTCGAATTCATAAATATAATTCTCGATTTTTTTTTTGTTTTGTTTGAAAATAGGAAAATTCAAGATTCTTCTTTTTCGTTTTTCTTGTTGTTTTTTCCTATACTGATTCTGTGTATATTCTTTTTTTTTGTGTGTAGGTTTAAAAATGAAAAGAATAAAAAAAGTTTGAAGACGACGACGACGATTGAATGGGGGGTGATTCAATGCATAACATATAGTAGTGTGTTTGTGTGGGAAAAAAAATATTCTGGCTTCTGGTTATTCTATATTCTTTTTTTTTTGAGTTCTATTCTCCAGTGTATCTATCTATCTGTCTGTGTTTGTGTTTGTGTATGTTTCAAGATTCGATCCAGAAAGAGAAAAAAAAATCTTTCTCTCTCTCTCTCCTTCTGTGTTTGTTATGGATTGAAAATCATTTTTTGTTGTTGTTGTTGTTGGTATTCTTGTTTTGTTTTTGTTTTAACATCATCATCATCATCATCACTTGAATTGACAGAAAGTGACCGAGAATATTCTGTATCTTATTTCGTTTGAATCACAGAAATAAAAAGAAAAAGTGAGAAAACAACAATAACAACAATGATGATGACAAAAATAAAGAATTCAAATTCGAATGTTTACACTCAACTCATGTATGTTATGTGAAAATCTTTTTTTTTCTCCTATTCTGTGGTTATTTTTTCTTCTGGTTGGTTTGACCAATTTCAATAATGATCATTCATCATCATCATCATCATCATCATTATCAAAATGGATGTGATTAAATGTTTCAGTCAATTTTCATCATTAACTTGATGGTGGTGATATAAATAATGTTTGTGTGTTCGTTTGTTTGTTGTTGTTGTTGTTGTTTTGTTTATCCGATTTGTGTTTAGTACATTTTGTTCATTCATTCAAATGATATTATATTTTTGTTGATAATTCGAATGGCTGATCATCAACATTATTATCATCATAATAATCATGATGATAATGATAATGATGATCATTATCATCATCATCATCATCATCATCATCATCATCATAACAATAATGGAATTAATATTATCAACAATAAATTCGATGACTAGTTTGACATCGATGATGATGATGATGATGAAAATGTATGTTAATTATCGTGAAAAATGGCTAAAATCATCATTATTATCAACATCACCTTTATTATGGTGGTAATAATGAATGAATTTTTCGTATAAATCAATAAATAAAAGCCACAACTAACATATACACAACAGTTACCATCACAATATGTATCAATGAATGAATTATTCATCATCGTAAATTGAAAAAAAAACAATCGATATTTATTAATGAAATACATTCTTTTTTCAATAACCGAAAAAAAACTTTTTGACATTTATTTTCGTGTAAGATACGTGTGTGTGTGTTGGTGTTGGTGTGTGTATTGGCAAAAGTGCATGAAAGAGAAATTTTCCGAAAATCAAGAATCGATGAAAAGAATTTCAAGCACAATAAAAAAAAATTCTCGATTCTTTTTTTCCGAAAAAAAAACTACCAGGACAATTTTAATTTTCATTCAAACACACAATGGCTATTCAAAAAAATTTATTTTGCAAAACAAAACAAAACAAAAAAAAATGATTACATCATTTTAAAAATTTAATTTTTATTTCTGATGAAATTGGCCATTGATATTATTGTTATTATTCATCACCATCATCATCATCATCATCACCACCACCATCATCATCATCATCATCATCCTCATTTTCATCATCAACATCATCTTGGCCACAACAACAACAACAACAACAACCACTATCAACATCATTATCGACAAAAATTATTATTATTATCAAATTTAAATTCGAATCGAATTGTTGACAATAATAATAATAATAATAATAATAATACGATAGTATTCGATCAGGAAATTCAATCGATCAATAATAATAATAATAATAATAGGATTAATCAATTAATCAAATTTGTTATAATTAATAGAATTATAATCAGCTATTTCAATCATCAACATCATCATCATCATCATCACTGTCCGATCAATAACGTATTTTGTTACCGAATTGCTAAGAAAAAAGAAACAACATTAACCGAACGGAAATCAAACACAACGATCATCATCATCATCATCATCATCATTATCATTATCGTTATTCTATTTGAATATAAATCATTATTATTATTTGCAAATTCATCATCATCATTATTGTTGTTCATTGATAAGAACCGGAAATTACCATCATCATTAATATCATTATTATTATTATTATTATCAATTGATGTTGATAATAATAATAATAATTATAAAATGACCGGTGATAAGGTCGAAGTTCAAAATGAACCATCATCAATATTAAGTGATGGCCAACGTGATGATAGTAACGGTACTGCCCAGAGCCATTCACAACAAAGTACACAACCAAATAATAATAATAATAACAATAATAATAATAATAATAATAATAATAATAATAATCATACGAATACAAATAATGCGAATAATAATCATAATTGTAAAAATAATTGGTGGAATTGTTGTTGCTGTTGTTGTTCATGGTAAGTTTTTTTGTGGTTGATATTTATTTTTTTGGATGATAATGTTGATGACACTGTGTAAACATTTTTCAAATAATATGTCTTTTTCATTGTTTTATTTTTCCTCTATTTGATTCGAATATGAACATATAGCATATCGATTAAAAATCATTCGGGAAAACATACGGATAACAAAGTTCAATTATCTTCCATCGAAAATTATTTCAATGATGACAATGAACCTCTGTAAGTTTGTTTTTTTGTTTATAATTCTGTTCTTTTCGAGATTCTGTTTCCAATTCTAATAAGCATTTTTTTTGTGATATTTTTCCCTTTTTTTTCGTGACAAACAAAAAACAAAACAAAATCAACAAAGGCCTACGATCGAAGAAATCCGAAGCTGGGCAGATTCATTTGATAAATTAATGAAATGCAAATGTAAATATTTGTTTAAAATTTTTTTTTAATTCAATCGATACAACCAAAAAAAAATTGCTTAATGATTTAGAAGAATTTCTTTCTCTCTTCTTTTTCATAAATTCATCACAAATGATTTGATTCAAATTAATGATTTTTGTCTTTTTTTTTCTTACATGATGGATAATAGATGGCCGTAAAGTATTTCGTGATTTTCTTAAATGTGAATATAGTGAAGAGAACATTATGTTCTGGTTAGCATGTGAAGATCTTAAACGTGAATCCGATCCGGAAATGATTGAAGAAAAGGCACGTCTTATTTATGAAGATTTTATATCTATTTTATCACCTCGTGAGGTATGTTTAATTGGATTTTTTATGTGATGTGATTTGCACATCAGTGCGTGTGTGTGTGTGTGAAAACGAAACCTATTTTTATCATTTCAAATCAAACAAATTTTTTTCTGTTTCTTTCATTAGGTGAGCCTTGATTCACGTGTACGTGAAATAATCAATAAAAATATGATTGAACCAACACCGAATACATTTGATGAAGCTCAGCTACAGATCTATACGCTCATGCATCGAGATTCTTATCCACGTTTTATTAATTCACAAGCCTATCGACAACTCGCACAACTGCCTACAACAAGTCGTAAAACAAGTGCTACGTAATCCACAATGAGAATAAATGAATAATACGACCAAAAACAAAAAAAAGCAAAAAAACGTAAACAAATAAATAAATCATTCTTTGCTCCCCATTTTTTTTCTCAAATCATTATCGAAACACATCAAAATATTAAATCATGAAAACAACAATTGATCAAGAGTTTCCAATTGAACAAAAAAAAATTTGATTTGATTTATTTTGGATTCCGCTTTTCTCTCTCTCTCTCTATCTTCCCTCCAAACAAACATCATACACACCTGTAAATATTAAGACAAAAAAAACATTTATTGCTTGTTATATTTTCTATACAATGTTTCATTTTATCAACCCTTTTTTTTGCAATTTTCTTTCATTTCATTTCTCATTCAAAACAACACACACAGATCATTTAAAGACTCAATCGATACGAACAACAACAACAACCGAAAACGAAATTAATTATATCACACACACACACACACAAACAATGATGCAAGAACAATTTTTATCTTCATTTTTTTTTTTGGTTTGTTTCAAAATGGCCATGTTTATTGATAAATTTAACACACACACACCTACACTTACACGCACACACTATATCTCCCTCCCTCACCACCACCATCAAAAGCAATGAATATTACAATCAATCAATTAATTAGGCTTCTTTTTTAAAAAATTAGCTTCCTGTTTTTACATAATTTAGATTTTATCTATCTATTTAGATGATTGTTTTTTTTTCGCTCTCTTTTTCATGATAAAAATAGCCCTGGATAATCAATATAATAAATAGTTTGTTTAGAAACAATACAATATATACAATATATCAAAAATTCTGATGAGATTAAAACACAAAGATAGTCCATCTAAATTAATATTACAACATCATCATCATCAAAAAAGGTGTGTGTGTATGGGGTGTAAATAGTAGAAAAAATAATTATCATTATCATTATTATCGATGACCAACACCGAATTTTTTTTCTTTCACAATTATATACAAACACACACATCTACATTTCAAATACCAAAAAAAAACATCAGAATAATCTGTGATTAACATTTCTGCTAATTTTTTTTCTGCTTTTTATTATTATAATTATAACATGGTTAAACATTATAAAAACATTATAAAAATGCTTTACAACAACAACAACAACAACAAACTATCTAACCATCTAACTAACTAACTAACTAACTAACTAAATATATTGATTTGTGACATTCATTCATTCATCATCACATTACATTCATTTGAATATAATCGATATTTTATCTTTGTTTTTCATTATTATATAAAAATGGATATGAAAATCAATTTTCACCAACATCATCAATTATCATCGAATTATTCTTCATCATCATCATTTTTGTTGTTGTTGTTGTTGTTGATTTTATGATATGATGATAAAATTCTTGAAGAAGAAGAAAAACGAAAAACAATATTTACACCTACACACACCTACCCATTTATTGTATTCTATTGATTTTTCTTTTTTTTGTTTGATTTTTGAATTTCACACACAAACATCCTTTCCTCCCACATAGTAATGATGACCACTAAAAACCATCATCACTCAATCACCATATCAAACATTATCACCCAAATTATTATTATCTAGTGTGTAAATCAAAATGAAGATTCAACAACAACAACAAAACAATGTCCAATCTAATCGATTGATTTGATTTTTCCCACCTCAGAAACAAAAGATGTGAAACAAATCTCTCTCTCTCTCTCACTCTCATTAACACCATCACTATCATCATCATCATTAACATGATCTTTGATTCCAATTTTATTTGATTTCCAAAAAAAAAAATCTTTTGATTTAATTTTTTTTCTTTGTCAAATTGCAAAACGAACCAGAAAAAAAATATCTTCAATAACACTTGAGATTGAATCACCATCATCATATATATCAATCATAGATTGGACCAAAACACTTTTTTTCTTTGGTTGTTGTTCATCATTATCATCATCATCATCATCATTTTTGCAAACAAACAAACGACGAACCAAACCAAAATCAACAAATATATTGAAAACAAAAACACAAAAAAAAACAAAAAACAAAAATAATTTTGATTGTATTTTAGGCTCAATTAAATTAATTAATTGCAACGAAGAGAAAACAAAAAAAAAATAATGATTCTTTCTTTAAAAAAAAATTATTATAAATGAAATAAAAATGAAAAAATTTTAAAATTCTTCAAAAAAAAAAGCTATTTCTACTCATTGCGACCATGTAGAGTGTAAATATATTGTTTATTTATTTTTTTTTTGCATACATGCAGAATATGATGAAAACAGACCAGACAGAATAGCTCAAAATAGTTTTTTTTAGACAAAGTTTTTAAAATTAAAACAAGAAAACAAAATATGGAAAATCAACCACGACGTGAATCATCAACGGCAAATAATAATGATGAACAACAACAAGTGATTGGAAATGATGATGAATATTTTGGCAGTTTTAGTACCAGTCTAATTAGTCCACCATTTGGTCATACAAATCAATTACAATTAAGAAATCGTGCCAATCTTGTTGGTGAAAAAATAATCAATCCAGGTATTCATATGTGTGATAGTTGTCAAAGTCCAATTCTTGTATATGGTCGTATGGTAAGTTAAAATAAAATTATCATTTTTGAATTTTAAAAATTTACATTTTCTTTTTCTTTTTCTTATAAGATTCCATGTAAACATGTATTCTGTTTTGATTGTGCGGATAAATCACCGGAAAAATGTCTTCGTTGTTCGAATAATATATTGAAAATTGAAAAATGTAAAATCGGTACTGTATTTATTTGTCGTACCGATACATGTCGTCGTACTTATCTAAGTCAACGTGATCTTGATGCTCATATTCAACATCGTCATCTACGTCGATCTGATGGTTCATTACGATTTTAGACCAATTTTTTCCTATTTTCATTTTATTTATTTTCGCTACATTTATATTCATTCAATGTATTAATTTCTGTATCAATTCATTTTTGTAAAAATAAAAAAAAAATTTACATTTGAAAAAAAATACGAAACACGTCCTTTACGGACGGAAAACGTTTTCCTTTTTGGTTTTTTTTAATTCGATTTTTCCGTCGCAAAAAAATTCGGACAATTTGTTACACCTGTTGTTTTCCCGTGTTTGTTGATTTTGAAAAAAAATCCTTAAGATTCAAATTGTACAAAACTGTCAAAAATGATCAATTTTCACATACAGACAAACAGCAGGACATTCAACAACAAAAACAACAACGATGACAATGACATTTGATTGTCATCTTTTATGTGAAAGAAAGAGAGAGAAAGAGAAAATGACGATAATCTGATGTCCTGTAACCAACAAAAAGAAAAGAACAATCAAAAAAAAAATGTTTTCCTAACAAGACAAACAAATAAGACTTTAACGACCATGATGATGATGATGATGATGAATGAAAAAGACAAGACAAAAATTTGGGTCCTTGTTGTCGAATGTCTGCAGAGCAGGTCAAGGTTTATGTCCTTCAGGATGACTTTCCTAAAGATTTCTCTCTCTGTCTGTATGTTTGATCTCTGTTTGTCTGTCTGTATGGTCCATTACACTACAAAAAACAACCGTAGGGTATTCTATTATGAATTTTACCTTTGTTTCTTTAAAACAAACAAACATATATTTCAGGAATCTTTGAAATGAAACTATCATCATCAAATGAAGTGGATGATGATGATTCCATAATGGTAACAAAGATAATATCATCATCATCATCATTATTTTGGACATGATGATGATGATGATGGAAAAAAAAGAGAGCATTGGCACCACTTGTTGCATTTTTCATCAGTATGATCATCATGATTTCATCCTCCTCACTCATTTACTCTTCAGTTTTTTCAGTTCAATTTTACCTGCTGAATGAAAACAAAGTTTACAAATTTTTTTTCAGGGTGTTTACAATTATCTGTTCGTATGTGTTTGTATGATTCTTGTTGTGTTTTGTCCATTTTTTTCAATATATACGTGGCACATCTCTTTTCAAAATCGTTAAAATTCACTATCAACTGCAGTGTTTGTGTGTGAACTTACTCCTGCCTCTTTCCCGATATGATCATCATCATTATCATTCATTCATTCATTCATTCATGATCGCTTTTCTCTTTTCCAAAGTTACAACAGAAAAAAAATTGAAAATGTTCATCAATTGAGAAACTTTTTGATGATAATTTTAAGGATGCACGCATGCGTTACACTTGTCAAACGAATTCGTTTTTTTTCTGCTTCTTTTATTCGTTTCACTAATAGATTATCATACAGGTGAGATTTGTTTTTTTTCTTGGAAATCATGATGTTGATTTCAATTTATCGAAGTTTTTTTGGTTGGTAGTGGTCAATCGATCTATAGGTAGCAGCATTTATTGAAACATTTGATTGTTGCAGCCCATTTTTGTTTTTTATTTGAAAACTATTCCTCACCCTCTTTGATTCCTCCCTTGGTTAATACGCCAAGATAAAGTAAAGAATTTTTTTTCGTTTGAATAAAAAGAGAGTCTTATGAAAGGTTCTCTCCATTTTTTTGGCTGGATATATCATGATGTTGAATAAATGGCCAAATAGGTAACCGGCGCCTTTATTCAATTTTAAAAATCCCGAATCCGAAATTCTATTTTTTTTTTCACTCATCCTCACTTCCTCCCTCCCTCTCTATATGTCTCTTTTAATTCATATAATGACCATCAAGGAGAAGAAGGTGTACACACACTCACAAACATCATACAAATTTTGAAATTTTTCATCATCATCTTATTGATAGACAGACAAAGTGAAACAACATTCACCGACCAACGAATGAAAAATAAAGAAGAGAAAATAACAAGCTCAGAAGAATATCTTCTTCTTCTTCTTATTGTTGAATGAATTCTATTACAGAAAAAAAAAATATTCAAATCTAACCTTTCTACTACTATATTATGTTAATGATGATTATATAATCGTTACGTCACGCCATACAAACAAACAAACACAGGTCAACAACAACAAGTGTCTGTCCCCCTCTTCTTCAGGCATCGCATTCTTTTTTCTGTTTTGTTCGATGGTTTCTACCCTACCATACTGATAATGAAAATTATCAAGACAGGTTAGTGACCCTTTTTTTTCGGGTTGTTGTTAATTCTGTTTTTTCCCCTTCGTCAATGATGATGATGATAGCGGCGTCAATTTGTGGAGTGAGTGGAATATTTAGCCTTGAATTTTTTTTGGTTTGCTTGGTTTACAACACTACCACCCAATATGGGAATTCAAATATGAAAAATGAAAAAAATAAAATTTGAATTATAAAAAACGCATCCTCTTTGATGATTCCCTCCATCATTCCGTTTCTTCATCTCCTCATCGTCCTCCTCCTCATTATCATCAAGCATCAAACATCACCAAAATCCTCCTCCTCGTAACAAGTGTTTTTTTTTCTTTCGCTAGTCGTTTGTTGTTGATTTGAAATGATTTTTGTTTTTTTTTATTTAGTTTTAGTTTTACTTGGATTTTTTCTTTTTTTGAAGGTACACACATATCATCATCATCGACAACAACAACAACAACATTATCAATGAATGGCCTAATGGCCATATGCATTTTCTATTTTCAAAAAGAATCCATTATCATTAATGATGACAACGGTTGTTGAATCGTGTAAAATGGATCATCCATAATGTGTTTGATGTGATGATTTTAAATTTTTATTTTCAAAAAAAAAAAAATCAAAAATCATAAATGGTTGTTGTTGTTGTGGTTGTTGTTTCGGGTGATGTTTAGTGACCAATAATTTTTTTTTATTTGGATCATCATTGACCGGTGTCCAGTGTGTTTTTTGTTGTTTTTTTTCAAATTTGTTTTCATTTGTTTTTTTTCTTCAAGTTTTTTTTCTGTTTCTCATTGCAAATCAATTCGTGATCCAAATCAGGCCTGACAAATCGATCTCATTTTGTTTATGTGAAAACATTTTCTTTCTTTTTGAAACAAAATTTTCAGTTTTTTTTCAAAACAAAATCAACCAAACAAAAAAATCATTGAAACACATAACCCAAAAAAACATAATGCCCGATGCAGCCAAATCGATAGCAACAAGTACCGGTAAGTGTTTTTGCTTCCAGGTTAATTTGAAAATCCAAAAATGATTTTTAGTTGTGTGCGTGTAAACATCACCCATTTATCGGGAAATATTCCCGAAAAATATTAAAAAAAAACTTTTTTTCCCAAAAAACAAAAATTCAATCACGACCGCACTAAAATTTTCGGTTATTTTTACTTAATGTGTAACCATCATTTACCACTGTTTTTAACACCAATGTAAAATTCATATAAAAAAAATCAAAAATCCAAAAATCCTAGCAATTAGTCGGCTATATAAAAATAAAATAGATAAATCTTTTAGGATTTAAGAAGATGAAAATCTCTCACTATGTGTATGTGTGATGATCATTTTTGAAATGTTTTTTTTCATCATCATCTTCATTTTGGTCATATCTTATCCTGTCAAGATTTGACCAAAAATGAAATGAAATAAAAACTAAAAAGAAATGCTGTAAAGATTTTTGTCATGTTGATGGCTATGAAATTTTTTTGGCTGTCTAGAAAATTTATCTATTTCTAGCCATTCATTTTGTTGGTTTCTTCGAAAAAAAGAAAAAGAAAAATCCAATCAAAATTGGAATATCTGGTTGACATTTGCTGTAAAACTTTTCAATTCAATCATTTACTATTCTTTTTCACATCATTTTTTTGGTTTTGTTTTTGTGTTTTTCCAAATACATCTAAACACATTTCATTTCATTTCATTCATTCAATATATATATAGGTTCATTCATCGAAAATATTATTGGCTGAAATTGAATTTTCAGATCAACTCAGATACATTTATTATATTACATAAAAATATGATTTTTGTTTTTGTTTGTTTTTCTCGTTCATTAATCTCTATATATAAATGGTGCGTGTGTGTGTGTTGATGAGATTTAGATTAACATTTTAATGCTTCTCTTACGCTCATGGTGATTGGTTGAATTTTTTTTTTGTTGCTGTTTCTGTCACCATTTCACCAAAATCACCAAAATCAGCAAAATATTTCAATTTAATTTCTGGATCAAATCGTTAACCCTTCTCTCTCTCTCCTCCATTCTATTTTCATCGATTTCTTTCCCTTTTTTTTCATTTGTTTTTATCTGATGAAAATGATATTTTTATATAATCCTTTTGATTTAAAAATTTTTGTTGTTGTTTTTTTGTTTTTCAAAAAATAAAACAGAAATTTGCCCTCAAGGTATTTTACAAATTGAAAGCCCGAAGAAATTTTACAGTAAAAAAAACCTGTTGCCCTGAATGCATGGTTTTGTTTGTACCCTATTCTAGTTTTGTTTTGAAAACCAGCAAACCATGTGTGTGTGTGTGTATTGGGTGAGGTTGTTTAAAATGATAATATGGGCCATTTAAACAACAACAACAACAACAACAAAAAACCGTTTTCAAAAACGATTACCCAATGCACAAACACACACACACCGGATTGACCAGAAAAACAGGTCCTTGTTGATATTGAAATTGAAAATTTCGGAAAAATGAAAATGAAAATCGAAAGCTTTATTGTCACATCGTTTGTGTGTTGTGATGTGTGTGTGTGGTGTATTTGTTTAAGGTATTATAAATAAATGACACCTGAGCATCCGCTGTTGTTTAGAAAAAAAGGTAAAAAAAAGGTATTTTCAAATCATTTCCTCGCATCGTTGATTTACCCTAAAATTTAGTATTGAAAAAAACCCTTAAAATAGACATTGCTGTTGGTGTTGTTTGAGAGTTTCATTTCGTTTTTTCCTGACAAACGAAATGAAATGAAATGATGCATAGATTGAATTGAATGTTTTTTTTTTTGGTTGGTTTGGGTTCGACATACTCTCATTATCTTCTACGATTCATTCAACGATTCTCACCACCCTCTATTTTTTGTTTCGTTTGTTTCGTTCGCCTTTTGCATTCAACTTAACAATGAAAATGTTTTTTTTTCATTTCCATTCAATTTCAGATTCAGTCAGAAAAAAAAAATCCCATGGATAATCATTGCCTGTTATGTTATTCAATGAGATTTCTTTCTTTTTTTTCGTTTCTGGTGTTTCATAATCAAAATAATAATGATGATTATGATGATGATGGCAGCGAATAATTTTCTTTTCATATTTTTTTTTTCTTTGATGATACAAAAAAAAAATACAAGGTGTTTCGAAATGAATGGATGGTTGGGTTGGTTAGTTGAATGAATGAATGAATGTATGGTTGGAAATGAAAATGAAAAGTCAAAAAAAAAAAAATTATTTAACATTTAACCTTTGAAGATCGGGATGATGATCAGATGATAATGAGGAGGATGAGGGTGGTGGTGGTGGTGGTGGTCATCATGAGGGTGATAATGATAATTGTGGGGGATGATAATAGGGGGAATGAAAAACACGAACAAATTCTTTTTTTCAAAAACGATGTTTCGTTCAGTCGCCGTTCATTATCATCCATCGTGATCAAATGATCATCAAATATGATTGCCATTAAGATTTTTTTTTCGAAGAAAAAAAAAATGAACATTCTATGTATGAATGGTGTATGTGTGTGTGTGGGGTACATCGACATTAGTTTGTGAAATTTTATTTTTTTTCGTAAAGATTTTTTTAAATAGAAAAGGAGGGTGAGAATGAAATGAAAAGATGATGATGATCGGACGGTTGGTTGGTTGGTCGATGGTTGGTTCGTTCAGTCGACGATGACTACCATCAAATCAATTTATTTTCTTTAAAAATAATGCTCAGGGCAAGGTGTGGTGGTGGTGGTGGTGGTTGTGATAATGAAGCCCCCCTCCTCGAATCATCACCACCCGAAGAAGAAGAAGAAGAAGTATTTTTCTTCTTCTTATTTCTATCGATGGAAAGCAACAAGTGTTTTTTTTGGCTCATTCCATCCATCCATCCATCTTTCACCTGTACAACAATAACCGAACAAAAAAGAAGAAAACCAGCGGTAGATAGATGAATTTTGAAGATAACTTTTTTAAAAAAAGTATAAGCCTGACGTTGAAGTAAGTAAGCAGGGAAAGGCAGGAAGATTGAAAATGATGATGTTGTTGATGATGATGGTTATTATCATCATCATCATCATACGAGATTGTTTGAGGTCGTCATCCTCGGGTCTTTCAGGACGGGACGGGACGACGACCATCATCATCGTCAATTCATGGTGATGTTGATGATGGTTATGTAAGAAAAGAACGAAAGAAAAAATTCGCTCCCTTTTCTTTCGTTCGCTCTCTCTTGACTTGATCAATTGGATTGTTGTTGACCAACGAACGAACGTAGTAAAAAACACATCAATTTTCAAAGTGGAGATAGGATTCTCTGTTTTATTATTATTTCAACTTCAGGCTGTTCAGGTTCATATATTCATTTCTTGAAAATTTCAATCGATTTTAAATTTGATTGATTTTTTTTTGTTTGCTTATCTTTCTTTTTTTTCGTCCATCTCTCATCACTAATTAATGAAATTGATTCGAAAAGATAGATAAAAATTTTTTTTTTTCGTATAAAAATAGCAATAATCATCAATATCCACAAATGACATTATCATCATCATCATCATCAAATAATATGATTACATCATTTGTGAATTTTTTTGTTTCTCCAGCAAAAAAAAAAGAAGGTCATTTCTTATTATTATATAAGACCAATAATCGTTGATTGATGATGATTTTCATTTGCATTTGCAAATGAAGAAAGCAAAAAATGAAAAAAAAAAGAATAGCTATGAACAAAACACAATGGATCAATGTTGATGATAAGAATTTACTATTTTCGATTGAATATCGATTGATTTGGTAAAAATGTAATTCCTTCGGAATCCATGGACAAAATCCGATTGAATTCCGGCAATGATACCCGGGATCAATTTCGCTTTCATAAATGGAAAAAGATTTCTTATAGACCTATAATGAAAATACATTGGGCGGAGTACCCATCACATCATCATCATCATATTACACATGATGATGATGATACAGAAAAAACAAACGTTTGGTTAGTTTTTCTTCAAATAAACAATTTCTTTATTTCTGGTTACCAATCTGGATCCAAATGAGCATGCGTTTATTGTACACCAATTGATACAATGAACATTCATTTATCAGCATCAATTCTTCAGCCAATTTTGGGAGCCAGAAGAAAAAGCCGTGCCTTGTTTTTGTTTTCTGTTGAATTAAACATAATATGCGCATGCTTGATTCGAAAAAATACACATTTCGATGATAAATGTCCATCATCCAAATCTTTTTCAAAAGTTGTGCCGCATCGATTTTTTTTTTTTTTTTTTTGCAAATTAGATACTACCAAAACACCTGAATACCTAATACATATAATAAATTTTTTAATATTAGCATTATGTAAAGGCGGCAATCAAACTTTCACGTTTTTTTGTTCTGTTGAATGCATACGAAAAACATCATTATTTCCATTTGATAAATTAACATTTTTCCCATTTCATTTTCTGATTACAGATTTTCGAGATAGTTTTCGGTTGGTTATTTTTGCGATTTGATTATAATATGTGATTACGCCCAAAATTAAAATTGTTGTTGTTGTTGTTTGTCCATTTTCCGATTGAAAATAAACCGTTTGTGCTTGTTTATTTCACAAACAACAAGGGAAATCGATTTTCCCCAAAAAAAGCTAGGCAAAGATATAGAGATAATTTTATGTAATGATAATGATGGTCGATGATAATTTAATCGATTTTTCTGTTCTGTTTTGGTCTAATCTCTCTCTCTATTGCTCCCACATATCGATTTATATAATTCGATTGTATCGATTGTATCATTGTTGTTTTTCCTGCGTACTGCCCTTTTCCGAATTTCTCATTTTCCAATCATCATCATCATGATTCCCGTTAATTTTATTTTGATGATGTTGTTGTTGTTGTTTTTCACTTTAATCTTGGATATGATCCACTTTTTTTTAAATATAAATTTAATTGCAGTGTTGTCACACATTTTCTCAATCAACAAACAAACAAACAAACAAACAACAAAAAAACTCTTTTTTTTCCACGTAATAACAATTTTGACGTTTTTCAATTGCAAACAAACATACCAATTTATCAAAAAAAAAAATGAATTGAAAGTTTTGAAAATTTTTGATGTTGATAATGATCATCATCAGCCACATGATCATTTTGCAACAACAAGTGATGATTACAGGCAATCTTTTGATTTTCTTTTTTTATGAAAAAAAGATGTGATTCGAAAAAAACAGCCAATTTTTTTCGAATCACGCATGCTCATCAAAAGAATTTATCCAAAACTTGGCAGATATTTTTCAAAAATCAAATAAAATAAGAATAAAAAAAAACTTGACAAGAGAAAAAAAAAACGGTCAATTTTTCTCCAGAGAAAATGAAATGAAATGAAAGAAAGCACCTTGAAGCAATTTAACAACAACAACCACAACATTTGATTGCATCTTATATTATTTTTGTTGCAATAATCATGATGATGATGATGATGATCATGATAGAATTTTTGTTTTTTGTTGTTGTTTAGAATTAACGGAAAGCAACAACAACAACAACAACAAAACTTCAATGTTAGGATGTTGTTGATAAAAGTTATTTTTGTTTTTTTTAATTGAATTTTTTTTCATATTTTTTTTTTGTTGTCCAGGTTCGGTTGTAACCACAATGCTCAACATAAACGGCTCATCAGCCGCCGATATTGTACAACATCTTGGTGGACATCATCAACATCATCATCATCATTATCACAATAATAATAATAATAATAATCATATGAATAATAATAATAATAATCATCATCAAACAAATGGATCATCAACAATAATAACATCAACAACAACACCATCAATTTCGACAATAACTGTACCAACATCGGCTACTGTACAATCATTATATGATTTTTATAAAATACCTGTTGTTGTTGATGGTATTGGTGGTGGTGGTGTTGGTAAAACAGCCGGTATTACATTGATTACATCCGATGGTAAAAATATTACTGATGCAGCCACCCTACAGGAAATGGTTTGGAGGTAAGATTTAAATAAGACAAAAATAGCAACAAAAAAAACAATCTTTTTCCATATTTGACCTGAACACAAATATACAAATATACAATGTTATCATTAATCAATCGATCAATAACGTTAATCATCAATATTTGTATAATGTGTTAGTGTGCGAATCATTATCATCAATGATTTATCAACTTGTTAGCATTATAAATCTGGATCTAATATTTGTAGGAGAAAATAAAAAAAAAGCTAATGATGAATCATCAATCAATCTGAAAAAATTGTTATATATTTTGTTTTCAATGTGGGCTTGTTATATTATCATCAGTATTAATCAATAAATCAATAAATCGGAAAAAAAGGGAAGGATCAATGATGATCATTTATAATTCTTTTAAAAATGCTAGGATTCTTGGGATGTTTGAAAACAAAATCATAAAAAATGGCTATATGCGCCGTCATGCGGTTGAATCATCATGATGATGGTGAATATTTGTTAGCAATGGGCATTATGACCATGGCCATCGCCGCCGAACGATATCATTGCAAATCATATCGACGTTATATATAAAAACACACACACACACACACATCGTGTGTGTTTTTTTTAGTATATTTCCCATCCCATCATCATTTCCAATTCAAATTCTCAACACAAACACACACCATGCACACTTTGTTCTGTTCTGCGTTCTTCTGTTTGATGATTATCATCATTGTATTTGGATAATGATGATGATGATCATATTCAAAGTTTGTCTTTTTTTTTGAAAGTTTCAAATTTTGTTTTTTGTCTTAAGAACCACCACTTATACAAAAACACACACACACGGCATATGCACATTGTTTAACCACCACTACACGACCACGACCACGAATAATGAAGACCACGAAGTTTTTAAAGATAATAAGGTACACATGGACACTTGTATACGTACAACACAACACACAGTCAGTGCACAGGTAATAGCAACAAGTGCATTTGGATAGTGGATGGAATTTTTTTTTCAATTTTTTTTTCTATTTGGAGACATTCATGGATGATGATGTCGACAATGATGATGATGATGATGGTATGTGTTTTTGTTGTTGTTGTTGTTTGTGTAGTTGAAGGCCATGGCTTGAATTGCTTTTGCTAATCATCATCAGCGTCAACATCCAACAAATCACAAAATTATATTTACGAGTTGAGTTCTCTTTTTTTTCGTTTGTTCGTTCGTTCGTTGTTTTTTGTTTTGTTTTGAATTCATTTCACATGCTTTTTGTTGTTCTTGATTGTGGAACTATTTTTCTTTTAATTTGAAAACAAAAAGTTTCAAAAAAATAAGAATTTCAAATTGAAAGAATCGAATGTTTGACAACAAAAAAAAGAATCATTCGAATTCGAATCCTATTTTTTTGTGTGTGTGATGACTATAACGACACAAAACAGACATTCATCCGAATGAATGTAAAAATAGCCACAAAAAAAACTAGAATTCTGGATTTGAATTTTTTGATAAATCAAAAAAGTTGTTTTCATTTGTGAAAAAAAAATAATGAGAAAAAACTTTCATTTTTCATTTCATTCATAATCATCTGTTTGATTATCAACTTTTTTTCCGCACATTCTGGTTTTATCATCATCATCATCATTATGATCGTCTGTTGATCAGGATCATCATCATCATTATTATGACCTGTCATTCATCATCATCAACAACACTATTATTATTATTATTATCAATGAATGAATTTATTCATCAACCTGTTCAACAACAACTGGTTTCTGTCATTGTCATCATCATTCATTCATCATTAGCTGTTTGTTGTTGTATGATAAGTTGTTGACCAACATTTTGGACATATTGAATTATCATCAACAGACACAAACAAAAATAAACAATCATCAATGCAAAGCGTAATTAGCTATTGGTAATTCTTTTCCGGAATTTTACAAGAATAAACACATTCTACAAACACATTTTAAACATTTATTCTGTTTTCCCAGAATATTCTATTCAGAATTTTTTGTTTTTCTCATTTTTTTCTTGTTTTTTTTTCTTATTTCCACTATAACCATAGCACTGTACCTGTATCGGCAGTTAGTAGTACCGGTGGTGGAGGTGGCGTTTTACAGAATGCAACTATTGTAACAACAAGTGGTTCATTAGCTGCTGCTGCTGTCACATCATCATCCGCATCTTCATCATCATCATCACCGTCACCATCATCCACAACAACAACAACGAATAATAATAATCAACATTCCGATGATGATCATCATCAACATCGACAACAACATCAACAACAAGAATCAAGTCAATTGAATGGACATAATAATAATAATAATATTCAATCACCACAATCATCATCTACAATTGTTAAACTTGAACAAGCAAAAAATCATCTAATTGTTTCAAGTGGTAACCATAATAATAGTGATAATAATAGTGGTTTAGTTGTTAATCAAAATGGTACGGTTACGATAACCGGTGGTCAACAAGAATCAACACCGACAACAACGAATAATAATAATAATAATGGTCAACAGCAATCACAAACGATTATTGTGACAACAACGCCAAGTCAGCAACAGCTACAAAACGGGCAACAACAAACGACATCATCAGTATTACATGGAACGGAAGTACTTCATATAAAAGCAGAACCAACGTCAACAACAACAACAACAGGAACGATATTACAACAACAACAACAAACCAATGATAATAGTGTTGTACATTTAAAGAATACCGAATCAACAACAACAACAACAGTATTACAGCATGTGAATGAAGTTGTACATATAAAAAATGAACCATTAGATACATTACCACCATTATCATCACCGGGACAAATGGTCGATGTAATATCGGCAAATAATGTTGATCATAGCCGTGAATTGGAGCCATCACCACCGGCTACCGTTATATCATTAGCACCGGCACAACCATATCCACCAAATAATAATAATAACAATAATAATAATAATAATAATGGTCAACCAACGCAATTAACATTTGCAACATCAGCATATGATCTATCCGGTAATGGACAATATGCATTACAAGTGAATGCCAATACGGCTTTAACGCCTCATCAATATGCAGTTACACCAACGGCAACAGCCGCTGCACGTACAACAAACGGTGGTACCGTTTATCTTACCACTGATTATATTACATATCGTGAATATTATCCAACAAATGCGACAAATGTTAATGGTGTTACGCAACAACAACAACAGCAGCAGCAACCGCAACAGATTATTGTTACAACAAATCCAGCTGCACTTACGGCAGCCGGTACTGTCAATAATGTTAGCGATCAACAATATCATACGGTTAGACAACAATTATCTGCACAGCAAATACCGCAAGTAACAATCACTGGAAATAATAATTATCAAACAACAGCAAATATGATTGGTGAAACGGAAACATCATTTTTAGATCGCTATCTACGACAACATCAGCCAATAACTACACAGGCAACAACAACAACATCGATGGTCAATAATAATAATAATTCACAACAGCCCGGTACAATTTCCATACAATCATTACAACAGGCAGCGGCAACAACATCAACAACAAATTGTTTGGTCAATGGATATAAATCAAATACAACAACAACATTACATGGTTGTTTAACTGTTGATTTACCATCACCGGATAGCGGAATTGGTGATACAACAACAGCAACGCCCAGACAAGAAACAATATCAACAACAACAACAACAACCATTCCACAAGTAAGAGTTTATTACTTTGTATTTGAAACTATTAATCAATCAATCAATCAATCAAATTATCGATGATCGATTAGAACATCCTTGTTTTTTCCTTTTTTACTATTACTATATAATGATTTTGTTTTTGTTTTTGTTTTTCCTGCCTTCATTCATACATATATTGAACAAAACAGATATTCGAATATACTGGTCTAACAACAGCACAACAAACATCAACATTATTACCAGTGGTTACAGCATCTGCAACTGATTTAACATCCGTTGCTGTTGTTGCTACTGCAACTGTATCATCATCATCATCATCATCATCGGCACCATCATCGGTTACATCACCAACATCGATTGGTAATGCTATTGTCAATATAACAACACCAACCAATGTATCAGGATCGCCTGCAGCAATAGCAAAATCAGCAAATCGTCGATCATGGCATGAATATGGTCGTAATTCTGATATCGATAAAATACAGATACCTAAATTGTAATTTATTAATCATCAATATTTTGATTCTTCTTTTTCTATGATTAATTATTTTGAATCCTTTTTTTTCATCCAAAAAAATCTTCAAATAGATTTTCTGATATTGGTTTTAAATATTTTCTCGAATCACCAATATCAACCAGTCAACGACGTGAAGATGATCGTGTTACCTATATTAATAAAGGACAATTTTATGGTATTACATTGGAATATATTAATGATGTGGATAAACCATTGAAAAATGGAACAGTTAAAGTAGGTGTTTTTTGTTTGTTTTGTTTGTTTGTTTTCCAAATATTTCATTCATTCATAATAATTGTCATTTATTTCAAATTTAGTCGATTGTTATGTTAGTGTTTCGAGAGGAAAAAACTCAGGAAGAAGAAGTAAAAGCATGGCAATTTTGGCATAGTCGTCAACATAGTGTTAAACAACGTATTTTAGATGCTGATACAAAAAATTCATCCGGTATTGTTGGACCGATTGAAGAGGTAGCACATAATGCTATTGCATTCTATTGGAATCCATTGGAAGGTCAAGCTAAAGTTAATATTGCCGTTCAATGTTTGAGTACGGATTTTAGTAATCAAAAAGGAGTAAAAGTAAATAATTTTTTTAAATTTCAATTTGAATCAATTATTCTAATCTATCGATTTATATTTTTTCTCACAGGGTCTTCCATTACATCTTCAGGTAGATACATTTGATGATATTCGTGAAGGTAGTACACCGGTTCATCGTGGTTATTGTCAGATTAAAGTTTTTTGTGATAAGGTTTGTTTTTTTTCAAGTTTTTGATTTGATTTACTCATCTTCATCATTATGATAGGGAGCCGAAAGAAAAACACGTGATGAAGAACGACGTGCAGCTAAACGTAAAATGAATGCAACTGGAAGTGAGTAGAATTGAAAAAAAAATGTTTGCAAATATATTTCTTTTTTATTAATGACAACGAAGATATTGTTTCAGATGGACGTAAAAAAATTGAAGAAATGTATCATCCAACATGTGATCGGTCGGAATTTTATTCAATGAGCGATCTAATGAAACCACCGGTTCTATTCACACCAAGTGAAGATATTGACAAAGTAGTTTAGTGAAATTTTTTTTACTGGAATTATTATTTTCCAATTTTAAAATTTTTTCAATTATTAATTTTTTTATTTAAAAAAAATTAGATAACAACGGGAGATATTAATTTTTATGGACATACAAATACGGATATTGGATATGATACGGATTCAGGTGCTTTACCATCGATCGCTACGGCTATTCCGTTGACTACTTTACATCCTTGGTAATTAATTTTTTGTTTTTCATTTTGTCATTTTGTCAATTCCTTGTATTTTTCTGTTTTTTTTATTCATATCAATTTTTTTAGTGAACGAACCGATCAAACATTAGTATGTGATATGCCTATTGCTTGTCCACCTAAAAAAATTAAATTGGAACGTTATCCAAGTCTTAATGATCGAGGTAATTATTATACAGAATAAATTCTCATTTCAAATCATTAACCAAATTTATCATTTTTAAATGACCTAAATAGTTTTACTATATGCTAAACAAGAAAATGAAGAAGTATTTCATCCACTTCATCTAGTACCACCAACATTAGTTGGCCTTGCATGGGCGGTAAGTTAGACAAGGATAATGAATAATAATCGAACCCTTTCATTGATTTTTGTTGATCCATATCAAATAGATTGAAAATAAATATAAATTAGAAGCAAAAAATATTCGTAATATTTATAAACGTTGTAAAAAAGGGTTAGTATTTGGCAATTGAATGTTATTGTTGTTTTGTGATTTTAACGAAAAAATTTTTCCATCTCTGTTTTAGAATCACTGTACAAATGGATGATGATATGGTTAAACATTATTCACATGAAGATACTGTACTATTAGAAGTACATCAGATTGATGCTGAAACTCATGATATAACACTTGTCGAATATGATACCTGTTGATTGTTTGACAGTGTTGATCGATACATTTTATTAGTTTTGACAAATATCCAAATTGACAAATTCGATCATTCGATCTCACAAACAAATATCAACACAACCACCACCAATCAAAAAATTGCCAACTGATCGATTGTCAATAGAAAATATCGCATCAATTCAATTCAATCAATCATTGTTTGATCATATCATTTATTTTCTTTGAAAACAAATTATTTTATCAACTTAACCAAACAAAACAATATCAATATATAAATAATATAATGTATGTGTATTCAGAGTTTTTATCAATGTTTTTTAATTTATCTTTAAGAAAATTTTTATCTGGGAACCAAAAAACAAAACGAAAATTCTACAGAAAACAATAATGAATTTATTATTAATTATCAACAGTTTTTTTAAATAATTAAAAATTATATACTCAACATTATTATATAATTCCAGCACACACACATCATTAATCTAAAGCTTTAAGCATCATATACGTTTGCCATTTTTTCATCTTATATCTTTTTATTCATCCATATTGAAATTGATCTTCGAATCATCCCAAAACCAATTTTTACAGTACAATTTCTCATCTTTTATCTATCTCTCTATCTATCTCTTTCTCTCGTAAGATACTCATTTCATTTCTGCATTAACCCTTCATTCACATTCAACACACAAACAAACGAGAGAAAACGAAAAAAACAGATTCGGCAATGAACACATGAACAATTTAAGTGTTTTGTTTCTGTCATTTTTTTTTCGTTTTTCTCGTAAAAATTTTCTTTAACATTTTCTTTTTTTGTAAATTAATTTACAAAAGCGAAACAAAACAAAAATTACTTTCGTCATTCTGTGATATATTTTTACAAACAAACAAACAAACAAACAAAAAATGAATTTTTTTTTTCTTCATCAACTTTCAAGAATAAAATCGAATCTCTCATCCATCCATACACAAAAAAAACCAAACAAACATCAATTTGAAATTCATCTTGTCATCAATTACATTGAAAACAACAAAAGATAACCTGATTTGTCGTACAAATTTCATAAATAAATTATATATTTCGAGGCATTTTTGGGAAAATTGCAAAACAAAACAAAAAAAAAGAGTACAAATTACAAGATTGATTTTCTATATATAAAAAAAAAATAATCGATTGATTTAAAAAGAAACCCCTATACACACTTTATTTTCATTTATTGTGCCAAATTTTCATTCATCATCGACAATAACACTCGATTGATCGATTGATTTTTTCGAGAAATACTTTTCCTTTCTCCAAACATTATACACACACAAATTCTGTATAGAATCCAAAAATCAACCAATGTTTTTTTTTCTTTTTTTGAATGTTAAAGAATTTGAAATTCTGAACAAAACAAAAACAAAAACAAATCAATTAAACACACACAACAACATTCATATTTAGGCCATCCGTGCAATGGTAATAAAATAATAATCCTTAATTTTTTTTAAATAGAATTAAATAATAACCATCCATCAATCATCAATTTATAATCATCATTATCATCATTTTATCAAAAAAATTCTCAAATTCCACTTCAAAAAAACATTCCAAGATTCATGAATTTTGGTGAAAGAAATTAACTAAATGTCACCAATATATCATCATCGATCGCACAAACATCATTTTTTTCTCTTTTGTTTTTCACTTTTTTCTGGTGTTTTTTTCTTCCATAACCAAAACCACGGATCGCCCAAATCAATTGCACACACTTAAAACCAAATATTTATTCCGTTTATCAAAGTTTTTTCTTTCTTTTCTTTCTCTTTCTCTTGGTCATCCAATTCAATTCACACACAAATTATAAAAAACATCATTATTAATGTAACATGATTTATTAAACGTTCGATTTTTTATTTTTCTCGCCCTCCGCCATCGATTCATTCATTTGATGATGACCAAAAAAACTTTTTATCATTTTGCATTTTATGTTTTTTTTTCTCACTAATTTTTTTTTGAATTGAAAAAAATTTCAATGGAAATCTATCAATTTATTATTATTATTATTAAAACAAAGATATTTTAATCGAAAAAAAACAAATCAATTACAGATTCTGTTTGCTAACATTTTTATCACTGAAATGATTTTTTGTTTTCAAAAACTTGATAAATAGGCGCCATCTCTTTTCGAACAAGGTGATGATTTTTGTTTTGTTTTTTGATTATCGTTCTAAATTCTTTTGGCTATTTGTATGGCAACTTTACAACCATTCGAAATGATTGTATCAAAAAGACCGTATGCGGGCATTTTTGTCGCATCATTTGCCTGGCCAATATCATGATGTTCTTGTTCTTCATCACGTATTTGACTTAGATTTTCAATTAAATCTTGATGTATCCTGACATCATCTTTAAGTAATTGTCGAATTTGACTATCATAATGTTCGGTTATTGTACGTTCAACAGCAACCGTACATGCCATTGCTGCACGTTTTCCAAGCATACCGCTTGTTAGACCAAGTCCAAAACTTAATGTTTCCCAAACTGGTGTTAGAAAACTTTTACGTGATCGATTTAGTACCAATTGTTTAGAAAAATATTGTAAATGTCGTTTTTCTTGTTCCCATAAATGATGAATAATTGGCTGGAATTGCTGATCATTTCGAAATACATACATAAGACCATAATGAATACGATCGGCAGCTAATTCTCCGCTATGATCAACACGAAGAATCGAATCAAGAATTTGTTTACGTTGTCGTGTAAGATATTTTGCCATTAAAAATTTAAATCTGAATTTCTTCACACAAAAACATATTGTGATGAACGAATTGATTTTCGATAGTATCGTTTCGTTGAATCGATTGTCAGACACGTGAAATCGATTTGGTTAGGTTTTTTTTCAAGGATTTTTTTTTATTTACCGTTTTTTTAACATTATTTAATCAATCATGGTCAAAGCAACGAAACCGAAACCAAGTTCCGGTGCATCACATCATAGTTTGAATCCGGATCGGCCACGAAATGCCAAAGATACTCATTTACGTGATCGTTCGACGATTCGTCGTTTGTTGATGTATAAAAATTCACATCCTATACGTAATCGGGAAGGTAAGATTATCAAAGCGGCACCATTTCAAGATAGATTATCTAGCGGTACTGTGGCCCGTATTGCACCAAATCAAAAATGGTTCGGTAATACTCGGACAATTGCACAGAATTCATTGCAAAAATTTCAAGATGAAATGCAAAAAACGATTCAAGATCCTTACAAAGTGGTAATGAAACAAACTAAATTGCCAATCACATTGCTCAATGAACGTGCTAAATTTCAACGAGTTCATATATTAGAAACGGAAAGTTTTCAGGATACATTTGGAAAGAAATCTAAACGTAAACGGCCACGTTTTAAATTTGAAGATCTACAGAAGTATGCATCATCAGTGGAAACACGTAATGAAAACTATGATGATAGTAAAGATTCGAATATAATTGTTGAACGGGATTTTCGTGAAGAAACACCACATGCTGTAATGAAAAAAGGACAATCAAAACGAATCTGGAATGAACTGTATAAAGTTATTGATTCAAGTGATGTTATTGTTCAAGTATTGGATGTACGTGATCCATTGGGTACACGTTCCAAACATATTGAAACATATTTACGTAAAGAAAAACCACATAAACATCTTGTATTCTTATTGAACAAATGTGATTTAGTACCAACATGGGTAACACAACGATGGATTGCCATACTATCCAGCGAATATCCAACGATGGCATTTAAAGCTTCGATGAAGACACCTTTCGGTAAAGGTGCTCTAATCAATTTGTTACGACAATTTACACAACTTCATACGGATAAAAAACAGATCAGTGTTGGTTTTATTGGCTATCCAAATGTGGGAAAATCATCGGTAATCAATACATTACGTGCAAAAAAAGTTTGTAATGTAGCACCGATTGCAGGCGAAACTAAAGTTTGGCAATATATTACGTTAATGAAACGAATCTATTTAATCGATTGTCCGGGTGTTGTTTATCCATCCGGTGATTCAGATACGGATATCGTATTAAGAGGTGTTGTACGTGTTGAAAATATTGCCGATCCTGAAGATCATATACCAACAGTTTTGGAACGTGTTCGTAAAGAATATCTACAAAAAGCTTATAAAATTACTGAATGGAATGATCATATTGAATTTCTAACCAAATTAGCACAAGCAACTGGAAAATTATTGAAAGGTGGTGAACCAGATATAAATACTGTTTCCAAAATGGTATTAAACGACTGGCAACGTGGTAAATTGCCTTATTTTGTTCCGCCACCAGAATCGGTTGACAGACCACCACAGCAACAAAATCCGAAAAAATCTAAATCTAAAAATCCTCAAGTTCGACAAGATCTTCGCAAAGTTGATGTTGATCTTGAATTCGAAGGTGATGATGTACGATCAATCGATGTGAATGATTCCGTCGGTGATCTTTACGATTCGGCTGATGATGACAATAATGATGAAGAGAATGAAAATGAACCATCTACAGAACCAGAATCAAAAGAATCCATACAACCTGCCAATGACAACAATAACGATGACGACGACGACGATAAAAATGAGGACGAACAACAAATAGTAGCTGAAAATTCTGTATCGATAAAACGGAAAAAATTGCCAGCAAAACCATCATCACAGCAGCCAATGAAAAAGAAAATGACATCCAAACTTAAACGTCGTATAGAACGTGAACAAAAAACGAAAAAAACTGGCAGCAATTTCTATGATGAATTACGGAAAAAGACGAAAAAATTACAGGCCAATCGTTTCAATGTGACATCATGATTTTGAATTTATTTTTTATTATTTCTTCCCAATTTTTCTTTCCGTTTTTTCACATGTTTCGGCATTTTATTATTTTGCCGTTTATCTCGTTTCTCTTGTTTGATTGCCTGTTTACGTAACTGTCAATAATAGAAAATGATGAAAGAAATAAAAATAAAATTTTTTTTTGAAAAATAAATAAATTTACCTTTTTCTCTTCGGTTGTTTCATATTTGGGTCGCGCAGAATGACGAAATCCACCAGATGATGATTTATCCGATTCATCATTGTCGTCGTCAGATTTATCATCATTATTGGTGCCTGCACTGTCATCATCATCATCATCATCAGCCAATAATGCAGGTTTCGTAAGTGGACCATTCAATTCTTGATTCAATGCGGCCAACGTTCTATAATGTGTTTGATCACGATTTTGTTGTCGATTTTCAAATGTTGTTACCTGTTCTAATCGTTGTGGTATATGAACTTGTTTGAATACTTCATCATCAACATCAATCAAATGATTATCTCCTGTTTCTTCTATCATTTTTGATCTTTTTTCAGCCAATTCTTGTGCTTTTTCCAAATATCGATCAATATTTGTTTCATTTATATTAGGATCAATAACAAAATCAAACAATTCTTTGGTGGTCATTGTTAATACACCTTTTCGGCGAAAAAAATCATTGATATTTGTACAATCTTTTCGTAGAAAATCTAATGCATGTGGATGATCATGTTCGACTGATTGTGATACATCAATCATAAAGATGGTACCATCATTATAAAGTAGATTGAATTCACTTAGATCAGCATGTACAAGATGTGCTTCATTGAATAATTTTCTCATCATTAGAATGCATTCCAGATAAAGTTCACGAGATTTTTTCTCATTCAATGTAGCATCTTTTAATAAAGGTGCTGGTATACCATTTTGACCGATAAAATCCATGACCAATACATGACTACGTAGAATATATGGTTTTGGACAACGTATTCCTGTTTGATGAATTCGACAAAGATTACGCATCTCTTTTTCAGCCCATGTTCGTACCATTTTTCTTGGATTATGACGACAATATCCATGACGGAAACGAAATTCACCGCTTACATATTTATCACGATCTTTAAACACAAGAATAGATGTTTTATATATTTTAACAGCTTTGTCACCCATATTATCATCATCATTCGAGGATGTTGCATGATAAACATTTGCTTCTTTTCCGGTACTTATACAGCCATTAATTTCATCAATAAAACCACGATTAATCAATTTGAATAATATCATTCGAGTACGTGGATCAAGTACCTGTTCAACAGTCGCTCGATCACATTTATCTTTGATACGTTTTCGTTCTTCAACCATTCGTTTATCCGTTTCATTCAACAAGTTTATTGTTTTATGTGGAATTTCATATTGATCTAGATTAATTTTATCAACATATTTACTGAATTTTTTCATTATTGGTTGATAATAATTATGTTCGATTTTCGAATCGATATTATCAGCATCATCATCATATAAAACATCATCACAATCATCATCATCATTATCATCATCATCAGATTCTATTGTTTGTCGATCGATATGTTGATTTTGTAAACGATAACTTAGATCATCATCTTGATGTTGTTGTTGTTCGATTGCATCTGAAAATTGATTTTCCGCATCCATCATCTTCATCATCATTATCACTAAATTAAGAAATGCAGGAAAAAAAGGATTCAGAACACGTTGTTACCATTCACGTGTTCGATCATAACAAACATAATAACGGAAATCCATTAAAAGATGGCAGCACACCTACCTAAAAAAAATATCACGTGATTGAATTTAAATCCAAATTTATACAGTGTTACTTCGTTTTAAACAATAAATCAAATAGAATTTCGGGTAACGACAAACAATTCGATTGAAATTCCATCCAAATTCCAAATCTTTATCAAACTAATCAAATGAATTTTTTTGTGAATCAAAATAATTATCATTGATATTCAATTTGAAAAAAACATCCATTTCTTTTTTTAAATTTTTCTGAAACACCCCATATATGCTGATGCTGATGTTTTTTTGGTTGCTAAGGTAAGAAACAAACAAACGAAGAAAAAAAAATGGGAGAGGATATACCAAACGACCAGATGTTCTTCAAAAAATATTGTATGATGATAGTAGTAGTGGTATATTTTGGATTTTGACACAAATTTTCTATATTCACATCAAATGAATGAATGAATGGGAAAAAAAGATGAGGTGATATTTTGTTGTTGTTGTTGTTGTTGTAGATGGTGAATCCTGCTGCTGCTGTTGCTTATACCTCAAAATCATCATCCTCAAATCCTGAAATTTTCAACACAATTCATATATATGATTCATAACAAACGAAATTTTCTGTTTGATTCGAACGTTTCTCTCCTTCTGTATCTCCAATATAGTCAAGCCCTTGAAATCAATTTTCCATTCAAATTTACATTCCACTACCATTCGAATATTGATGAATTTCGCCAACAAATTTTTATTCTACTTCCTTTTTTCTCTTCAACAACAACAACAAACATTTTTGATATAGTAGTGGTCAATGATAATGGTAATGGTAATGTTTTTATTTTGTTTTTGTTTTGGTTTTTTGATGTGCGTCGTTTGTTTTTGTTGTTGTTGTTGTTGTTGTTGTTGTGGTTTATATCTCCTTCTGTCATTGTATGTTATTCGATTTTGTTTTTGTAATGATAATAATGATACCACCATTATATTCTTCCCTTTTGAATGATTTTTTTTTGTTTCAATTATAACGATGATCTTTTAAATATAGATGTTTGTCTGAAATAAATATTGGTGTATCTGAAATTTGTATTGCTATCAACCAAAAAATATTCACCATCCATTTGATTCTGATTGATGATTGTTCTGTTTTGAATGAATTCACAAAGTCAAAGTCGAAGAAAACGATTTAGAATTGAAGAATATATCGAATGTTTTTTTTTTTGGAACGACTGAAATGATACTACCACCACCAACACTCTTTTCATTTTGATGATCATAACAACAACAACTACATTGTCAAAAAAAAAATTACCAAAACGATTAATGTCATCATCATTATTATCATCGAAATATACTGTATGTTCTGTTGCTTTTTTGTTTTTTGATTGTTTGTTTGCATCACGGACTGATTGACACCACCATCACCACCACTGTCTTTAATTTACTTTTTGAAAACAAAAATTTATCAAATAGAAATTGATTGAATACAATTCATCATTCGTTATCCTACCAACAACAACAACACCTGTACATTTCTTAACATTTAGTGTAAGTTTATTGTTTTTGTGTTTGAAAAATTCTTTTTTCTTCCTAATGAATAATGATAATTTCTGTGTAAATTGAAAATCGAAATTCTTCTACAAAATACAAAACGCTTCTGATTCTAATCAATAATCATTTTGTTTCTTTAGAATGAAAAAAAATGTATTTTTCTAAAATATCTAGAATTTTTAATGTTTATTTATGTTTGACTTTGACAAAAAAAAAAAAAATCTTTACATATAAATCTTTCTTTACTGTTGCCTTGCCTTGCTTCATTTCTGTTACTATTGCTGCTGCTGTTGTTGTCATTTATTTATTTTGTGTTGCTAACGCTTTGGTTTCATTTAGTTTTTTTCTAATTATTTTTCTTTTTGATATTAACATTTTGAAAAAAAAACAAGGAAAAGAAAATTTTTTATTAGTTTTTATTCGATACATCTTTTTTTTACCTTTTTTTTCCAATATTATACATGTCGATTATCATCATCATCATGGATGTACGCATCATTGCCGCATCAATCTATAATTGAAACTGTTTGTGTGTACGTAATAACAGCCCAATTCGATTCCAAAATGATATGATGATGATGATTCAATTGCAAATTTCCTACACACATTTACACTTGACTAATATTGAATTGATTTCAATTTTACAGCTATCTTTTTGATTATTTATTTCAAAGAGAAAAAGTTTTTCATTTCCAATATTTTTTTTCACCCATCTCTCTTAATAGATTCTACACACTCTATCCTGATTTGAATAGGAAAGAAAAAAAGATCTCATTTTTTTGTTTTGTTTTTTTTTGGTGAAATTCATCATCGACAACAACAACAAACAAACAGAAAAACAACCATCGATACCTCACCTAACAACGACAACAATTTCAAAAAGAAATTTCCTCAATTTATTTCCTGGAATTTTCCTTTCTGATTATAGCTGAAAAATATTATTATTATTATTATTGATTATTGATAATCAATTAGATAAACAAAAACAAAAAAAAAAGGTTAGTAATCAATATTTTTTCTTGTTTTTTTTTGTTATGAATTAAATTATTCATTAGATTTATATTACATCTGTACAGGCAATAATAGTTTATATTTTTTTTCGAAAACATCAAATCACCAAATTAGTGAATGTTTTCAATGGGAAATATATTTTTTTTGGGTAGCACTAAGCGAATTAGTAAGCGATTTCATTCATTCAAAGCTCCCCCACAACAAATGTTATAATGACAACCAGAGTGTGATGATAATGATAATAATAATAAAAAACAAAGAACGAATTAGAATGATGAAGGAAAAAAACTTGTTGTTGTTGTTGTTGTATATGATGGGATACGATTTGTGATGTGATCTGTGATCTGTGATGATAATGAATAAAACAAGTCACTGTGTTTATATTGCCATAGTATAGTTTTTTTTTTGTTTTTGTTTCTGGTTTGTCCCTTCGGTGTATGTATCTTTCTTTCTCTCTCTCTCTCTCTCACACACACGATTGTCATTTGAGAATTTTTTTGTTGTTGTTGTCTTTTCTCCATGTATATTCAAACACATTGATGAATGATGATGATGATGATGACGCCATTATCATTAGTTGTCATAGCATCATTCTTGATTTAATTGGCTGATTCTTTTAACTAAGATCAGCTGTTCTGTTTTTTTTTCTTCTGTGTTCTTGATTGGTCTGTTTTGTACCTAATTTTATTTTTTTTGAAACAAAAATCTGGTTTTAATCTTTCGATAGATGGCGCTTGAAAGTATTTTTTTTGAATTTGTTTTTTTTACCGCAATTTTCATAAAGATTTTTGATTTTTAGTGAATTTCCAAAATGAAATCAAAAAAAAAACAATGACGTTGGTAGTCGTCGGTGATTAGATTATGATTTGTTTGTCGATGATACATCGAAAATTACCATTATCATTATCGAAGCCCTCGACCTCTGTAAAAATTAGATTGGATAAACAACAAAAACAACAGGAAAAAAACACGTGATATTTTTTTTTCTCGAAATTATCATTTTTTTGTTGTCAAAACTGAACTGCATTACAGCTTAATATTTTTGTTGTTGTTATTTGATTAGAGATATTTTTTTATATTGGTAATGATGCAACCAATTATCAATATCGAATGGATTATTTCTTTTAATTTATAAATTAGATGCGTAGATTTTAAATGTTTTTGATTATTTTCATTTTTAAAAACAATAAAACAATCAATCAATCGTGATTTAACAAAGTTCAAAATTTAATTTTAAACTCTTAAAATCATTATCCATTAATTTTTTTGTTGTCTCCACATTTTAAAGGTGTTCAAAATAATTTCGTTTGTTAATCAATAATATTCAAAGTGGCTAATCGTAAACAAATCCGTACCAAATTATCATCATCATCAACAACAAAAACGTTACCGTTTTGTGAGGAACGTTACGGTTGTAAAGAAGGTAAGACGATCTTTTTTCAAATAATCACACATAATTTATTCAATATCATGATTATTAATAAGATTCCATAATGATTGGTGATTGAACGTTTAATTTCTTTCTTTTTTTTCTCTCTCTCACACATGTTCAATGTGATAACATTGCTCTGATTATTCTTCATTCATTCATTCAATTCAAATCAAATCATTCACTTTGAAGGTTAAGGTTAATCAAACTATAATTACATTAATATTACAACGAAACAAAACACTTTATTATCAAAACAAAATACTTTTTCTTTTCATTTACAATTTACAAATTGATTAATCGATCCAAAATGTCATCCTGATTTAAATAAATGTCAAACAAAATCATTTCATTTTAACCAAATCATTTCTGGAAAAAAAAATCTATAGGTTTTTTTCCTGCAAACAAAAAATATGATAATTAAATGCGCACTTTTTTTTCGTTGTTGTTGTTGTTATCGTTGCTCAATTATATGCTTATTATGATTTTTTTTTCTTTTTTTTTTGATTATGATTTCACATTCGTTTTTTTTATATTCAGATTTTTTAAATATATAGTGAAAATGATGGTTTGTTTAGAGTTGGTTTGGTTGGCTTGGCTTGCTGTTAGCCACTCTATTGCATTTTTTCATTCATTGTTTGTGTACGAATAATGATGATGATGATTGAAGATTGAAATGAAATTTTGGAGAAAAGAAAAAGAGACAATTGAAAATGTGAATGAATTATACATGTGTTAAAGTTAGTTTTTTCTTCCATTTCAATCACATGTTGGATGGATGTGGATGTTGTTAGTGGATGATTCAGTCCTTGGAATTTTTTTGTTTTTTGTTGTTTCGCTGTTTAGTTTCCATTTCGTTTCGTTTCGTTTTTTGTGTTTGTTCAAGAGTTTTTTTCTCTTCTTCAATACTCTATGATGTTCTCTTTTTCAATTCAATTCAGTGATGATCCATCATGATTCATTTATCATTGAAAATTTGTGAAAAAATAAAAAAAAAATAAAGATTTGAATCAATGATGATGATGATGAGGACATTGATGACATTATCAAATTTTCTTGATTTTCTCGTCAACAATGTTTGTTTCAATGTAATTTTATTTGACTTGTCCAAAAAAAAAAAAAATCATTTCGACCATGTAAATATTTTTTTGACAAAAAGGTTTCTGTTTTTCTATCATTTTTATTTGCATGCGTGAATATTACGCAATTCAATAACGGTATTGCCTTAGTTTTTTTGTGTGTGTGTGCGTGAGAGAATGATGCAATTCACAAAAAAAAGAAAGAAACATTTTAAATGCTGGTTATTTTTTTTTTAGTTGTAAGATAATAATTATTATCAAAAATTTGGTTCTGGATGGTTGAAAAAATGGTTGTTTTTTTTGACATAAACATTGAATATATCCTGTACGTTAAAATGTTTATTTTATTTCATTACAAATTATAATGATATATCAAGCTTATTTGCATATTTTCTATAAATCATTATCTTTGTTTGTTTTAATTTGTTTTTTGAATAATGAGCATATGATTGCTGTTTGTTGCTTTTTTATCTCAATTTTGTTTTGTTTATGATAAGAAAATCTGATTAGAATAAAATCAGGTAAATAAATGATAACAAAAAATTTCATTATATCACATCTCTTATGATTTAATTCTCGTGATATTTTGTAAATTTTTATCACATGGCGGATTACACATTAAACTGTTTTGGATAGTGTGTGGTAGTGGTCATCAAATGACATTACGTTGTTATAACGTTTTTTATTTGAGAATTTAAAAATTTCATTTTTCTTTTTTTTTTTTATCGATAAAAAATAAATAGATAAAACATTGGCCGATTATTATTGTGACGATTGTCAAACAAATCAATGTAAATTGTGTGAATCATTATTACATACAACACAATTGACTGATATTGTTCAAATTGATGATTGTTTTAATCATTGGCATCATCGTAGACCATTATTATCTTTAAGTAATCATTCATTGACTAACGAATTATCATCATTATCATCATCTAGTGGTGTGTTGTTACCAGAGAATAGTAACAGCGAAGAAGAAGAAGATAAATCTAATTGTTCTAAACAAATTGATTTAAATAATATTACGCTGGCTCGTAAAAAGACTTCGTCTTCAACAACAAAATCAGTAACCAATAAGGTTTCAACAACAGATTTAATACAACAACCACCACCACCACCGATAATAATTAATAAAAATCAGAATAATCTTCATAATATTCAATTAACTAATCACGAAAAAATTCTATCAACATCACCATTATCCGATCCAATTGTTGAAGACGATTTTGATGAAAACGACAACGATAACGACGACATCGTTGAACAAAGGGTTGATAATATTGAGTTAAGCTCAGCAGAAACATCAAACACGGCTTCTACAACGTTATCAACAACAACAACAACTAATAATAGTAAATCAAAAAAGAAAAAGAAACGTCAACAACAACAGCTGCAACAGCAGCATCAACAACAACAAAATTCAGATAAAAAAACCATTATCGATGATGGTGATGATGATGATATTGGTGATGGGAGCATTACATCAACATTATTGAATAAAAAGAAAATTATAACATCGACCATTGTAAACAATAATACTAACGACGCAAATAAAAAACATACATCATCATCATCATCATCGACATCATTATCATCGGATCCGTCCTCATCGGATGATAGTTCCGAAGGTTATGTATCATCAACAACGATCACAAAAAATCGTCATCGAAAATCAACTATAGCAACAAATCAAACATCATTAACAACAGCACCATCAACAACAACAACAACAACCGCATCAATGACGATGACAAATGGTGGTCGAGATTTAAAATCAACAACAACAACAACATCAACAAAACAACCATCATCATCATCATTACTAATGCCGTTAGATACAGATGATCCGTTATTAGATTTTGACATCGATAATAATAATGGTGGTTCAAATGGAAAAAATGGCTGGTCCGATGTTAATCTATCGACTACACCACCGAAATCTACTTTTGATTCGTCACCAAACATAATGGACAATAACCATAATCATCAACATCAACAGATTCTTTTGCCTGATGTAGCACAATTATCATTAGGAAATTCATCATCATCATCATCCCCACCACCATCATCATCATTATCATCGAATCAAGCTGCAACGTTGAAATTAAATGGTTATAAAAAGAATCGAACAAATTCTGAATCATCATCAGCATCATCATCATCAACAATATCTGATCAAAATTTGGCTGAATTTTCTGATCCAAATCAAAATGATGATCAATATGATGAATCAACGTATAAACCGGATTGTTTTCTACTCATTGATGCTGAAGAAGTTTTACAAGTAAAAACTGTTGAAGAATTTATTGCCAAACTTGGTTGCCAATCAAATACATTGGTAAAAGTGGTATCGATATTTGGTAATACTGGCGAAGGAAAATCACATACATTAAATTATACGTTTTATGATTGTAAAGAAGTATTTCGTACAAGTCCAACACAAAATTCCTGTACGATTGGTATATGGTGTTCATTTGATCGTCGTCGTCGTGTTTTAACTATCGATACTGAAGGTTTATTAGGTCTATCTGATAATAATAATCGTCGAACACGTTTATTATTAAAAGTTCTTGCCATTAGCGATGTTATTATCTATCGTACACGTGCTGAACGTTTACATAATGATTTATTTACATTTCTTGGTTCAGCATCACAAGCTTATATTAAACATTTTGCTAAAGAATTACGGGCAGCATCACAACGTTGTAATTTACAATGTACCCTTTCGGATCTGGGTCCAGTTGTTATTATATTCCATGAAACTGTCCATACTGATGTTCTACATCAAGGTAAGTTTTTTTTTTAAATTATAAATTCTATCTTGATGATGATGATGATAATGATAATTGAATTTTGAATAGAAAATGATCTCGCACCTGAAGATGTTATACGTCAACGTTTTAATAAAATGTCATTATCGACCGAAGCATACAGTGCATTCGAATATGTTGGCATACAGACATTGGTGCCACCGACAGATTTTGATCAATTACGACGTACCGTACATCGTCATCTAACTAATTCTACTGTTCGTTCGGCACGAACACCTGCCGTCATATTTAATGCATTGAAAGTTTTGAGCCAAAAATTTTCGGGTGAAATATCCAAAATAACATTAAATCCATTTCCGGATGAATATTTTACCTGTTCGGAACACTGCCTATCTTGCAAGTATGTTTTTTTGTTTTTGTTTTACCAATGAGACAATCATGTAATTTCATATTTGATAAATTTTTTTTTAAATTTAAAAAAAGGACTCGATGTATGCTTTCAATGAATCATTCACATGATGGCATACCACATAATAGTAATTCCAAATGTAAATATCAACATCAATATTCCAATCAAATTTTTTATTGTACATCATGTTTTGAACGTGGTGAAGAGATTGAAGTACAATCAAGACCATATGGATCAGCCGATTCAACATGGGTTGGATTAGCTAAATATGCATGGGCTGGCTTTGTACTTGAATGTCGTCTTTGTGGTATTATTTATCGTTCAAGACAATATTGGTATGGTAATAAAGAACCAACCGAATTGACTGTTGTACATAAGGAAATACTTCATGTTTGGGAAGATGTAAGTCATTTTTTTTTGTATATAATTGTCTTTTGATTTTGTAAGGATTTCGTACATTCACAATCACTAAGGAAATTGATAGATGTTTAAACAATGATTGATAGATTAATTTTCTTTCCTATTTGATGATTGATTGATTACCATAGCAAAAGGATATTTAGCAAAAAAAAAGTTTTTTTTTCAATTTTTCTAGATTTTCTTTTCTGAAATCCAGAAAAAATGAGTTTTTTTAGGGTCAAAAATGAAAATTAAATGTAATGAAATCATGATGATGGTGATGTTTTCATCCTAATCTGTTTTTTTTCAAGTGACTGACTTTTTTTGATTGTATGCGCCAAATCAAAACATTAACAACACCCAAATTTTTTTTTTCATCTCCTAAATCCAGTGCATGATAATAATGATATCGTGTTGTTGTTGTTGTTGTTGTTTGTCAATGTTTGCATGCAATGTGTTTGTGAGGATTATTGCGTTGTTTGTTTGAAAATTGTACTTTATTTCAATTTCTTTTTTTTTTCTCTCTTTCGTTTTTTTTTGTTGTTGTTGTTATTGTTTTGTATTTGGGTTAAATGTTAACCGATTTTCTATCAACGTGGATAACATCAATGTTTTGGTCATCGGAATTATCTGAATCATCAAATAAACAACAACAGGAACCATTCCCAGGTACACAATGTGGTCAACAGAATTCGGCACAAAAAGTTGTCGATTCAGTTAATTATCTTTCGGAAACGGTAACAAATATTTCGGCAAAACCATCCAAAATGATTGGTAGTTGGGTTGCTGATCAAATTAATCCAAGTTATTGGGTACCAAATGCCCGGATACAACATTGTGGAAAATGTGAAAAAGAATTTGAACCATTGGAAAAGAAACATCATTGGTATGTTTGTGAATGTTTTAATTTTTTCGTTATTTTAAATTCACTAATTTTTTTTTTATGATTAAAGCCGTCGTTGTGGTGGTGGTTTTTGTGCCGAATGTTCTGCAAAATATCAACCAGTACCGGAACGTGGCTGGGGTGATCAACCTGTACGTGTTTGTGACATTTGTTTTGAGAAAGGTTAGTTGATATTTGAATTATTAATGAAATCAATCGATCAATCAATCAATGTAAATAATTTAGGACAAAGATATCCGGATTCATTGAATGGTGAAGTAACGGCTAGAAAAATGTCCGAAGCATTACAAACAACATTAGGATCAGTACTACAGACTATCGATTATTCATTGGGTGAGTTTTTAACAATGTTCAAAAAAAAAAATTTCTGATTAATCATCAACGTTGTTTTCTGTTTTGTTCAGGTTGGATCAAAGATTCTGCTAGGCCAGATTATTGGATACCTGATAAAGATATAACTAATTGTAATCGATGTCGATTAGAATTTAATGAAAAAATACCAATACATCATTGTCGAGCTTGTGGTCAAGGTGTTTGTGATGATTGTTCACAGCAACGTAAAATGGTACCATCACGTGGTTGGGATCATCCGGTTCGTGTTTGTGATGAATGTGCTGCCAAAAAAACGGTTTCCATTTGAAAAAAAAAACGAAAATGAACGATAAAATATTAATACACATCATCATATATATTCATCATATATTTGTCTTCTTAAAACAAACAAAACAAAAAAATGACGCACATCATCATCAAATCAACAAAAAAAATCAACTACGGAGAATGTAGAAAAAAAAATCTATAAAAAAAATTGATAAATCTAAAATTTCGAAGCAATAATGATAATTTTTATAATAGAAAAAAAACACATCTCGTCATCATCAATTATCATCATCTGAATCACCTTTATCATCATTAAAATTACAATATCGAATTAAAAACAAAACGAAAAGAAAAAAATTCTATTATTTAGCTGAAAAATATTACCTGATTTGAATCTTGTCAAAATATCTAAGTCTTTGTTTGAATTATTTTTTTTCCACAAATTTTTTTTTTTGAATCTCAAATGATTTTTTTCGCTTGGAACAACAAAAAAAACATCGAAAATTGAAGATGCTAACCAACCAGCCAATTCATTTCACCCACCAAACAAAGAAAAAATTTATTGAAGAAACAAAAAAAAAACAACACAAGAATTGTGCCAAGTTCCAAACACACTCACTCACCTGTATCCTGAAGATTTGAATATTTTCAAATTCAAAATTATTTATTTCTTGATGATTTTCCAGATTCCATTCCACAATTGAATTCGATTAGAATATTATTTTTTTTCACGATTCACCTACAATATCTTCAGGTAAATTGTTGAATTTTTTTTTTTGGATTTTTGACTGAAATATTTTTCGTTTCTTGTAGCAAAAAAAACTCATCGTTTTTGTATATAGAGACCATTATCATCATCAAACAAAAATCAACATCAAAAAAATTAATCGTTGTTCACGAGTTTGTTATTGAATTTTAGATTCAACAAAAAAAACTTCATCTTTTCATCATCATCATCATCAATATTTGTTGTTTGTTTTCTTTTTTCTCGTTCACATAATCATTTCATTATCATATTTTTTTTTTCTCATTCATTGCAAATTGGCATTTATAATTTCATGTCAGAATTGACAAATTTTTGATTAAGAAGAAATGAAAAAAAACCTTGAAGATGATGCCGATTATTATCGACGAAATAATCATCGAAAATGGGTGATTCTTCTTATCATCATTGTTATGATTATGATGACCAATCCAATCATCATCATATGATATGAATGTAATAATGAAATATTTGCATTGATTCACATATATTTGTCGTTGTTGGTTAATTTTTTTTTCTTCTTTTCTCACCGTTTGAAATTGTTTAAATCATAGAAATCTTCATTCAAATTTTATAATCGTTTATCAATTGTCATCATTTAAATCGAAATCGATGATGATTTCAAATGAAAAAAAACGATAAATGAAATGAAATGAATGAATAATGATTGTTTTTTTTAAACAAAATGATTTCACGGTAGAATTTATAAATATAAAAAATAAATAATAAATAATAATAATAATAATAAATTATAGAAAAATTATCATTTCTATAATTTATAATAATAATAATAATAATAATAATAATACTTATATCCAGTATGGATTTTTTTTTCTTAAAATTTGTAAAAGTTTTTTTAAAAAAAAAAAATAGTAGAAATTCTTCCATTTTTTTTTGTTTTGTCAAATTTTTTTTTCTTTTCTTTAAAATTTTGTTTGCTTTCACAACAAAAAACAAACTATATTGTTGACTATCACTCATTTTTCACCCCCTCCATTGATCCATAGTGTTATATAACCTTGATTTACCTGACCACACAATTACCTGTCCAAAGCAGTGGAAACAAAAACTAAATGTCCAAATTCAACCCATTTCAAAATTATTCTTCAAAATTTGAACAAATTCAAACATCGGATACATCAACATGCTCATCACCTACAATAAAATTAATTAGAAACACACAATACTTCCTTCCTTCCATCACCTTTCTTCATTATCATTATCATCATTTTTTGTTTTTCACATCCAAAAATTTCCCTGCAATATTATATCATCCGTTCCGTTCACTTATTGTTACTGTTGTTCTTGTACAAAACTAAACTAAAACAAACAAACAAAAAAATTTAATTATTATTATTCATCAACAAATCAACACTAATCATCATCAAATATTTATAATTATGAAATCCAATCAATCATTCGATGATTGTTGTATTTCAACCAAAAAAAAACAAAACCTTTTTTTCCCTCTTTTAAACATGATTCTTTAAAAAAATGATATATTGACAATTGTGAAAATAATAAAAAATTCGAAAGAAAAGTTTTGGAAAAAATCTCGATGAATCGAGATTTTTCAAATTTGTTTCTTTCACCAAAAAAAAATTTGTTTGAATTTTATTTCTAAACAAACTGTCGATAGATGGCGATATTTGCGCAAATTCAATTTGTTCGAATTTTTTTTTTTCGGTTTCCTTTTGTTGCTGGTTGTTTCGAAACAATATTTAAACAGATCTTTCTTTCGTTAAATTCTTAAAATTTCTTTATTGAAATCTATTGAAATTTTTTTTTTTTGCTAAAACGAAAAAATAAGAATGTCTATGAAACAAGATGAAAAATCAAAGGAAACTACGAAAACAAATGAAATGAATGATAAAAAAATATCCATAACATTTCCACCATCATCATCATCACCATCGATGAAGAAAAATGATGAAAAAATAATACTGAAAATGACTATTGAATCATCACCTACACCAAAAATAAACGAAGATCATGTTCAACATCCTGAACCACCGATTAGACCACCAAGTTTAGTTTTATATAAATTAGATGATATTGATGATGATGATGATGAATTAAGTGTATTACGTGCAAAATCAACAAGAAGAAATAATAATATTCCTCGTGGTAAAAGTCCATTAACGAATTTAATGTTTACCGGTTTGTTTAATAATTTACTTAGTTCAATTTTACCACCAAAACAACAACAAGATAATTTTTTTGGTAATGATGATGATTATCATGAAGATAATCAAAATATCCGTATGGATAATAATAATCATCATCATCCTTTTGGCAATGATAATGATAATCCATCATTACGTGATCGATTAACATTGATATTTTTTAAAATACCACCTAAAGAACAATCATCATCATCATCATCAAGACATAATCGATCAACACAAACAACAAGACCATTTTTTATGCAAACAAAATTACCAAAAATGATGAAACAAAATCTATTTCCATTTCAACGTTCATCACAAACAACTAATATAATGGATAATTCTCTACGATCCGAACAATTGGATCATATTCGTGAAGAATTATTACAAATTCGTCAACGACATCGACAATTATTACGACAAATTGGTCGTTTAATTCGTGAATTTGAACATATTTAAAAAATAAAATAACATTTTTGAAGAGAGAATCAAATTAAAAAGTATGATTTTTTTTCAAATTTTCGTATACCTAAAATTCATCGGAAATCCTAAACATACACGCGCATGTGCAACCCCAACCAATATTTGAGCCAAAAAGCTGAATTTCCATCACATCATCAAACGAGAGAAAAAACAAGCAAGCAACAATTGTTGTTGTCGTAAACACAACATTCATTCATTCAATCATTCAATCATTCATTTATGGGCAATCACATCATCATCATCCGAGCGAGAAAAAAAAAGATTCTCTCCTTTTTTTCTTCAGTGCAATTGTGCAACAAAAATTCGTAAACAAAAATCTTAAATCTTGTGAATTGAATAAAGTGAGAGAGAGAGGAAGAGAAGCCTAACGTGCGTAATACGAACGTCGTTCACCATATAACGTTGTTGTTGTTGATATGAGCAAGTTTTTTTTACGAAATCTTCAATGATAGTTGGTGGTGGTGGTGGTCGTCGTCGTCGTCGTCGTTCTGTTTGTGTGTGTTGTAGATAGATTCCATCAATGAAAATTTGCTTGTAGTGTTTTTTTTTATTTGGCACACATATGGATACTGTTTTGTTTGGCTCACAACGTTGACGATGATTATGATGATGAGCATGATGTGATATTGTTTTGTTTGGGCTAGGGATTTCTTTATAAAAAAAAAGAAAACTTTGTTTTTTTAATGAATGAAAACATTAATCAAGCAAATTGATTTTGTAATTGTGTATTTTTGTTCCACGTTTAAAACCAACATTCTGAATTCGTGAATTTCCCAAAAATCGTGTTTGATCGATTGATTGATCTGATGAAACATTTACCTTTTTTTTAAAAAAAAAATCATTGCTGTGTACGTAAAACTTGGGTAAGTTTTTTTTTCAATAATATTTTTTCTTATAAATATCGATTTCAGAATTGATTAGGAAAAAAATTGTTTGGTTTTTGTTTTTTTTTATTCTCAGTACAATTGTTCTCATTTAGGTGTGTAGTTGTAGTATTGATTTGGTAACCAAAGAAAAACAATAGTTGAAATTTACCCCCTGTTTTTTACGTAATGATGGTTGTTTACAACCGGAAAACATATAAAACCACCACCACAAACACGCACATAGTGAAATATTTTTAATGACTAAATTGATTCGAAACTTTTTATCTTCCGGTACACATAGTAGTAGTAGGTGGTAAGATTCATTAATATTTAATGAGAAAAAATGATAATGGACGGTCAATTGACGTCAATTTTTTTTTCGGGGGAAAAAAATGTTAGAAATTTTTTGTTTCAAATAAAACAAAATTAACACTTTGTTTTAATTGTCGTACACAAGAAAAAAATAACTAAACATTCAACAAAGTAGTAAAAAACTTTTGTAATAAGAAAAATTGTATAAGATTTCTTTTTTCTTGAATTATATTGCCAAGAATTTTTTTTTTGTTGTTGCTATAATTCTGTCTCTGCGACTACTGGTAATGTGCAATCATAATTTGTATCAAAAAAAGCTGATTATGTTTGATGACGCCATTACTATCGGCTGGCTGACGGTCTTTTGGGTGGCATTTCCATGGGTTTTTGGATGCGAGATACCCACGATATGATTTGGTATTCTGGAAAAAGAATTACCAAATTAACTTTTAAAACAAAATCGTCACATTGATTTTTTTTTTGAAATTTCTGTGGACACAATCATTGTGTGTGTGTGTGTGTGTGTGTGTGTGTTGTATTGTGATCATTCATTTTGATGATTGAATGATGCAACAACATCAAACGAACAACTGTAAAAACATTAAAAAGTTTTATTTTTAGACCACCATCATCATTGTAGATTTTTATTTTTTAACTCTTAAACCATATTGTATTTAGTCTCTCTCACTCTCGGTTGAAATAATCAAGAATTTTGGCCGGAAATAATAATGAATACTAATTCTCATTATTTTATTTGGCATTCTGCCCGAATAAATGTGTGTGTTTCTTAGAATTTTTTTTTGTTTGTTTGTTGATAAACTTACATCATATAAATGATATTATTCGGTTTTTTTTTCTCATTCTTTTATGCGAACATTTTTTTATCCCACCGTATGATGGTGGCGTGGGTAGAATCCGGATTTCCGATCAATTTCATTGTTGTTTTTTTTTGTTTTCTGTATTGTCATTCATACAATTAAATCATTATCATTTTTTTTGCAAATTGAAAACAAATCCCACCGGCAACAGCAATGATGATGACAAATAATTTTATTTATAATCTACAAAAGAAAAATCAAAAATCGAAATCAATAAAAACAATTAATCCGTTCCGGAAATGATTTATCGATAATTGATTTGTCTGTGTAATCTTTATATTCGTATGAAATTCACTTTCGAACAAAAAATCAACTGATTTTTTTCGCATAGATAACGCATCGTTAACGTTGTTGTTGTTGTTATTGTCAATGGATGATTATCTTATCATCACTAATCGATATAATAAAAAAAATGATGATTATTATAAATGAATGAATGAATGGAGAATGAAAATCTTTTTTACAAGCACATTTTTTTACAACATTCAAAAAAAAAAATATTAATAATAATAATGATCATATCATATTGGTTGCCAGGAGAAAGTTGAAAATGTTTTCTTTTCTTTTCTTTTTTTTTTGAATGAAAATTGAAATCATCAAAATTATATAATGATGATGATGATGATGAGCAGTGATGAGAGCTAATGTTCATTTGGCATCTTGTCATTTCACTATATGTGTATGGTAATGATGATACCGATTAACAACAACAACAACAATGGTAATTGAATTTGATGATAATGATGGTTGAAAGTAATAAAAAGCATAATGAATAATGTTTTTGACAAATATCTGAATGTTTTTTTTTTTTTTTTTTGGGTGGTTATTTTTATCTTGCGAATTTTCGACGTTATAACGGTTGTTTTTGTTGTTGTTGAA